TCTGTGACCCTAACACATGGGGTCTCTCTCTGCCCTCATGGTGTGCACTTGTGGTCCTCAGCTGCCCACGTCACCCATTCTCCACATGATCATGGTTGTTGATGGCATTTTCTACGTGAGTTTCCAATCTTCTCACTAGTACGGAAGCTCCTGAAGAGAGAAAAATCCTTTAATTTACCACTGTGTCCCTGGGACCTGAAACTGTATCTTACCCCAAATAAGAGTCCCGCAGATGCTTTTTGGAAGCATGTCATATGCACGTATTGAGTAGTCTGTGGCTATTTTGTTGACAAAGATACTTAATGGTGTTTTGCACTTTTATGCAGAGGCAAGAAAGGGAACCATGGTCAGTGTTCAGGCACAAGCTTGATGTTTGAGGATCATGTTGACAGTTCCTTGAAATCTGATGAGTCCTTGCGTTCAGATGAATCTTGGTCCGATTTAACTTCGCCAATGGGGACTAAACCAAATTATTGTTTGACTGCACTTATATAACAACAACAACACCAATAAATTCCAGGTGTTTGAAACATCATTTTGGAGATTAGCACATTTCATTTTTTAATAAAAGTTCTACAGTGCAGATTTTCTACATTGTCAATTTCTTAGCGTTCTGTGAGAGACAGCTCTTATTTTTAAAAAAGTGAAGCACTGATTTTTTATTCATTGCAGTGCTTAAGTATCAGAAAGCTTACAGAATAGAATGGTGCTTTCGTGACTTCAGAATAGATTTATTTGACTTCTACAATGAGGACTCAAACAAACTTGAACTACAAATAACATACGGAGAAAGACATTTTGTCTCATGTCTGCGTTTGTGTTGCAGTGCTGGAGCGTCTGTCTACTTTATCGGTCCTGTCCAACCTCACCGAATTCCTCCGTCAGCCCTTGGTAAAGTCTGGGGCTCCCTCTTCTGGAGGGAGAATCCACATTTCCTCAACAACTGGACTTGTGTAGGTGGCCCTGTGAACATTATTTGCTGAGGTGTTTTCGTCTTCATGTTAAGGCTCAAGGGAGCTTGGAGTGAGGTGTGCTTTTCATCCTTCTCCTCAGGGAAAGCCCCATGGGACGCTGTTATGAATTCATGTTTCCTTTTGAGCAGCAGGGGGCTGTTACGTGAGGCAGCTTGATGGTAGGGAACATTTCTATGAAGTAATTATGTTAAGTAACTTAGAAACTTCCTCATAATCGCAGAAATGACACTAATATGTGATTCCTAGAATTCCATCTCTGTCGGGAAAATGAATGTTGTGGTGATAAGTGAATACCATATAATTGAATAATTATATTTTTAGATGAGACACCCAAAATGAGTCATTCATTTTCAGCAATGAAAATTATTACAGATAAAACTTATTGGTATGAAATTATAAGAGGTATAACCATATATTTAAGAAATACGTGGTTTAGAATTTTGATGCTTTGCCAATTAAAAAAATGTAATAGCAAATTTATGTCTTAATGGCTAATGTAATTAAACTTCAGGTTTCACGAATGATTCTATCATCAATATAAGGGCCCTGCATTTGTTAAAAATGGTTTAAAATTATTTTTAATTAGAGAATCAAAGGACAAGGAGTAGTAGTATCGAGAAAGACTTCACTGGCAGAGTTTCAAGGAGCATATTGGAAAATTGAAGAAAGAAACTTACTAAGCTGGGTGCTATTCTAGACCACATCTTCATGCTGCTTCAGCCGGGCTGTGAGAAGGATTTTGATTAAGTGTAGATGACAATGTCTTACACTTCCAAAACTTTATAGTAATTCGAGGTAAATTGTGAGATGATATTTAAGAGAGTCAAGCTTTCATCCCCAGAGGAGAATGCTATCAAATCCCTAATATCAAGTTAATGTTAGTATTATCAGTTAGGAATCAAGTTAAACACTTTTATAGGTCAGTCAGTAGGTAGGTGGACAGGGAGAAAAATAAGGAGAAAAATGAAGATTTGTGAATTTATGCTAATTACCATACACATACTATTCCTGGCTCACTTGACAGAAAGTGGTTAGAAAGAGTGTTTCTCTAAGTGCAAATATGGGACGTAGTACCCAGATCTGGGTGAAGAAATACTATTCAGTGGTTTTATATGAATTGGAACCCAAGATTCCTCATGAACTTCTATGTTACTCTGTCCTTCTCTCTCCCAATAGCAAGAGCCATATTGTTACTGGGAGGACAAACACTGGACTTGGTACTCAGCATGATGTGTTCTTTACTTCTTTAAAATACCAATCTAATGCCAACAAAAAGGAGAAGGGTGTTCTCTTGTGGATGAATCTCAAATACTTGTGTTGGTATTGTTTGTACAGTCCATTATTTCTGCAGGTTTCTCAGTTTTCACCCAATTTCTCTTTATGTATCAGGCTCCCTTCCAGAATCAGCTAATGTCTCTGTTTACTGTTTTTTTAAACTCCTCTATGCAATTTCTCATTTTGTTTTCTTGATTAGGATTGTGCCTGTGTTGAGGCGTGCACTGCTGATTTGTGTTCTGCAAGGTCCCTCAGCCGGGAATTTTCTGAGGTTGACCCAAAAGGACAGTAAGGGGATTGATCCTGGGAGGACAGGTCTCTGAGGGTGCTGATGTTGCAGTCACATCACTCCACGGTGCGTCCCTGCCCTGTGACTCCCTGTAGCTAATGATCTTTTCCATCACCTGGCTGTGCTCGTGGATGTAGCTTCCCATGGGAGTTCCTCTCTGCTCCTTTCTACTGCAGCCTTGAGTGAGACGTCATCACGTGTAAATGGCTTTTATTGTTCACGTTCTCAGGGGCAGAGAATTATTATGGATTTTTGTGCATGGGACATTTGTCTATTGACCCCTATTTCTAAGATATGCACTCATTTGTGTCTTTCAATGCAATAAGGAAGTTATTTTACACTTAGGATAAAAACTCCATTGTAAAATTTGATGTTATTTACTTGGTTGGTCAAATTCTTCTGGTTTTGTCCAATTAAAGACATTTTCATCTGATCCTGTGATATGCTGATCTATCTGTATCCTCTCCCTCTCTCTCTCTCTCTCTCTCTCTCTCTCTCTCTCTCTCACTGCATCCCTGCATCCCTGCCTTCTCTTCCTCCTTCCCTTCACCCACTTCATTCCATAATTCCTTAGTTTTTGACACTATAATATTCTCTGGGCACACAAACTTCTCACTCTGTCCTATTAAGTCTCACAGGAGTCCTGATTCCCTTTGTTGAAGGAGGTTGTAAGGAAACATTACTTTGTTTCTTAGAGTTTTTATTGCTGCTGATACATCTTCATAGTTCAAGAAACTCTCATCTGTCAGAGCAAGGAGGTGCACATGTGTATTCATAACTCATGTGTTTACAAACTTGCATAAAGGTAAAACCTTATCCTCATTACAGGCTGACTTTTCACACCGAGTATGTGTGGAAGGTGTATTACTTTGCATTTCTTGATCATCCACTGGTATTTTATCCTGAGTAGTATTCCTTTGTGTGGATGCGTGAGAGTTTGAGTTTTTCATCTAGTGAAGGAATTTGATTACCTTCAGCTTTTGTCAGTTATCAGCAGAGTGGATATACATGTCCACAGCCAGATTTTACATAGCATACATCTCACCAGTTGGGTCAACATCTAGACTTGTGATTGTTTAGTTACACCATGGGGCTCTAAAGCTTTGAGGATAGATATTGCTGGAGGTTCTCAGCTTTGGTTAAAAAAAAAAAAACAAACTTATTCACACAGGTAATTTAAAAGAAATGTGAATTCAGTGGCTATTCTTAAAAAGGTCAAGACTGTATGTTATGTGAGATAAAATAATAATAATAATCAACAACAGACTAATAGATCACTGATGGACTTAATAGGATATAGGCTCTCACAGTTGCAAGGTGTTTATACACAATTTCTTTGTAATGACTGTGCAGGTGGACAACAGAAAATAGAGACAGAAAATCTCAGAGTTCAAGGGTCATAATTACAGTGTTGCTCAAAATGTATCACTAACATTTCTAATTAAAATTTTTGGATACTCGCAAAAGAGCAAATTGTGACCCACAAAACTAATATTCAATAGAAACAGTGTTTGAGAAGCCCTGACTTCAGTCTTTGTACATAAAAACTTCAAAGAATTAAGGCAAATGTGCAATTTTATCAATGACATTTTTTCCATGATTCTGAGGGTAATATTTTCTTGTAGGATTATTTGCCCTGTCTTGTGTTACAACTATTATGCCTCAAGATTTGCCAGATATAGTTGGAGAAGATTTTCAACACAGAGCCCAATATAATAAGTAAGGCAAACCTACATGTTGAACTTAATGTATCTTCTTCAGGTGAGGTCTTAACTCACATGATCCAAAGTCCCCCAATACATATATTAAATGTGGATTTATATTTTTACATGTTCTTCTGATGTGATAATTCAGAGAAACAAATTATCACACCTATACATTTAAAATGATAAAATAGACTTAGGTACAAAATCACTAACCAAGAACAGTCATTAAACAAAGAAACATTAAAAAAACCAGTTAAATATTTCTAATGACAGAAAGAACTTGAATGATCATGTTACATTAAAAACTAATGATATCACAAAATAGTAAATTTATTTTTCCCCCTAAAAAGAATTGCAATTTATGAAAAGAGAAAGGTAAATCTTTAAAGAATGAAACTAATATCTTGAGTGGAATTCTGTGATTAATTTAAAAATATAAAAATATCATTGATTGGAATAAAGTAATGTCCATTACACTACTCTTATACTTTTTGAAATATAAAATCAATGGTTGTATCTGTTTTAAAAAACCACAGTATTTTAAAATGGTATGGTTTTTGAAATATAAATTTCGGTGCCATATTGGTGACTTAGCTGTTACTTTCACTGTAATCATCTGAGTCAGAGCTTTTCAAGACCTAGTGATCCACTATACTTACCTGTACACACACACACACACACACACACACACACACACACACACACACAAGGAATCATGAAAAAACGCAACTTTACATATCTTGTCTTCCACCTTTTTCTCCATTTGATATTTATTTAATGATTTTTAGAATCTTACATCTTTCCTTATACCTGGAAACCTTTCTTTCAGATGTGACCTGCCTACCCAGTAAAAGGTCTGTTAATAGTACCTTATTTTTCTACTTCATCCCTCACAACTCAATAAGTTTTAGTTTATTCCATGGTGTATTTCTCACCAAACCCAAGCATCTCTTGCTGGAATGCCAGTAAGACTAGAAATAACCGTCTGACTTGTCTCATTGTGTCATAGCAGACAATGTGAATTCTCTCTTTTTTCATTGGTGCAGATCTAAAGTTACACTGGCTTACTGGAATGGGAGGGGTTTGTCACGAAGCTCTTTAAGGCAGCCTTTACATCTTTGTTGCGCAGGCTGTAGATCATGGGGTTCAGCATGGGGATCACCAGGGTGTAAAACACAGAAGCCATTTTATCAGTGTCCAGGGAGTGGTTGGTCCCGGGCTGTAAATACATGAACAGCAATGTCCCGTAGAAAACTGTGACAGCCATCACATGCGACCCACAGGTAGAAAAGGCTTTCTTCCTCCCTTCTGAGGATCGCATCCTCAGAATAGACAGGATGATGTTGAAATAGGAAACTACAACTATTGTCACAGAAGAAATCAAATGAGTCCCTGCAGAGAGAAAGACCAGTATTTCTGTAACATAAGTATCAGAGCAGGACAATGCGATGAGAGGTGTAATATCACAGTAAAAATGATTGATGATATTGGAAGAGCAAAAAGACAGGGAAAACACACAAGGTGTAAACACAACGGCTGTGAAAAGGCCATAGAGGTAGGTGAGGGACACCAGCAGCAGGCAGACCCGCCGAGACACCACCACCATGTAGAGCAGAGGGTTGCAGATGGCCACATAGCGGTCGTAGGCCATCACGGCCAGCATGAAGACCTCAGCTACAATGAAAAAGAGGAATCCAGCCAGCTGGGTGGCGCAGGCATAGTAGGAGATGCTTTTCTTCTGTGCTAAGAAGTTGCTCAGCATTTTTGGGGTAATGACGGTGGAGTTGCTGAAGTTGATGACAGCCAGATGTCGGAGGAAGAAGTACATGGGGGTCTGCAGTCGGGGGTCCACACTGGTGAGGGTGATGATGCCCAGGTTCCCCATCACAGTCAGCACATAGATGCCCAGGAAGCCGAGGAAGAGAGGGACCTGCAGCTCCGGGCGTTCTGAGACCCCTGTGAGGATGAACTCAGTGACCTGGGTCATGTTTCCAGGGGCCATGCAGGCATTGGAAATTCATCTGTTTAAGGAAGAAGAAAAGTTAGTGGTTACAAACTAATGTGTGACTTTTGGTATTTCCATTAAAGCACAAGGCAATTCTTGAACAAGATTTCTTTTTGGTAGAGAAGATGAGATTTGGTTTAAATAAATGTTTCCTGTCAAGGAATGAAGTGGATGGGTTTCCAAGAGAGGAACCCTATATTTATGGTGTGAGATTAGGATTTTATGAGAGTTTCAGAATGTGAAAAAAGGATCTGTGCGGCAAATGTGATATTCTAAAAATGCTTCTCTCTCTGGATCTTTGAGAACTTGGGGACTTTCTGGCAGCCCTGGTGTGGAGTTTAAAATTAGGATTGCGCTTGCAATGACACTTGCTGTGTTTGACAGAAGGCTTTCAGCTTTAGATCAGGAGATGCTGTGGAGGGCTGGCTGTGCATGTCTTTTAGAGAAGAGTGCTCAGGACTCTTTGGGAGAAAAGGATGGACCCAATGACATCCCAGGTTTATTTCTGCCTACCAAGAGCAGGGTGTCTTTAACTGGAGTTCTTTGTTGTTGAATGGATCGCACGGCACTATTTTCTGATATTAACTAAGCTTGATTATCAAAATCTTCTTGTTTCAAATGGCAGCTAATGACCATTACCATTGTCATAATTATCCTTGTCTTTGACCTGTGCCTTTGTAAATGAATTTCTTAAAGAAACCGGCGATTTTCCTGGATACCTGTTCCATAGCCACACAGCCCTGTTGCATAATCTTTTTTATAGTTTGTTGCCAAGTTGAGATCTTAGGAAGAAGCCTAAGGAAATGGGGCACCCAGGTGTGACAGTCTGCAAACTCAAGGGTCCCTAGGATGTCTCGGCTCAGACGGAAGCAATTATGGCTGTGCCACTTCAGCCTTTGTATAAGAACTGACTTTGCTTGGTTGTGGGTGGGGGGAACGTAGCTGTCCTTTAGCACGGAAAAACACAAAAACTGTATCAGCTCAACTGGGAGACTTTTTGGACTCATACACTCATCCAGCTCAGTCATAGAGCTCAGGTTCTAGGTGTAATGAACACACTTCTGTGGCGTGGAGTGAGGACAACTAGAGTCGTGGAACAGTTTGAAGATTCACTTCTTAAACTGCAAGCATTTGAAGTTAGTATTCATGTATTTTAACAAGTGTGAGAAAGCTGGAGACATTACATGACACTAAATAGCCCAAACTTTCATTCCAATTTCAGGTTGCTTCCTTTTATTAACAGATGGCTCTATGCATGTTCTCCTGCATTTTTGGTATCTCTCCCTGTCCTAACTTGAATATTTGACTCGAATATTTTCACAACCATGTCTGTTAGCTTTTTAAAATTTTCATTTTCTTGTTATTAAATGAGAGAAAAATTCATGGAAATGTGTCTTCATGTCTATTTTTCAGGCTACTGATTTTTTTTTCATTTAAAAATTTTACCTGTGGAAATCTCAGCATTTGTGTAATTGACATTATGCTCTGTCTGATAGTTTCTTTCTTTTATTCTTTTTCTTCACCTCCCAAAATCTGTACAATGTCTCATATACCTCCTTTTCTATATTAATCATTTAACCACTATTTTTTGTAATATTATTTTCCTAATGTATATACTGTATCTTGGCTTAAATTAGTTGATTTTTAATCAGATTTTTCAGTTTAATATTTTCCCTTATTACAATACTAATCAATACCCTTCCTTTGAATAGTTTCAGGACAGATAGTTGCCATCTCCTTGCCTGCCATTTTAATATTCTTAGTACTGTCCCAGAGTCGAGTCGCTGACTGTAAAGATGACCTCTTCCCCACAATGACAACCCCAGCCCAGTGACTCTGCCATCACAATGGATGACCTCACTGCTGGCCCAAGTAGCTCAGCTCTTAGGCTCTGGTCTGACGTGGTGGAGTTGGGCTCCAAGCGTGAAGATGACCTTATGATACATGTCTGAGCAGTTAAGTACCAGAATTGTTGACATACCTTCTTAGAAGAATAGGAAAGAACAAAACTTGGAAAACCATTCTGCAGTGCCCAGAGGGAAGAGAGTTACACGGCAATGACAAAGTCATCTGAGACATAGAACCAAGACGACCTTTCATGGCATTGACTATTTATTTGATACCCTGCATTTATTTCTGACAACAAATATCTATCTTTCCCGTTGTATTTGTTTATATATTTCTTTATTTTCAGATACTTACTGGATTTGTACTCTGTCCCTGATGGTGTCCGAGCTTCACAGACACATCTTGTCCCATACATAGCTCGTGGACCTGTCATTCCAATTACAGGAGCAGAGAAAAGTCTGTTACAACTCATTTATGCAAAATATTCTGGATACTACTCAGTGTAATGAGGGCATTAAACGGGAGGATACACGGAAACAGCCTGAGAGAATAACGCCTGGGATGCTTGGAAATCTTTTCTGAGAAGGTGACATTTATGTAAAACCCCAAAAAATAGAAGGGGAAAAAGCCGTTTAATGAATTACAGCAAGAACAGTGCAGGAGGGAAGGCAACAGGGTTATGTGGAACTCTGAGGTAGAAAATAACTTTAGAAATGATTCATTAATTGTGGAGTGTTAAATTTTAGGAACGTGGCTTCTCCCCAAAGCACAGTGCATTTTAAGACGTGGTTCACAGTGTTTAAGGGCTCTGATAACGAACAGGATAAAATATCATGTACAAACCTCCAGTGGGGACCCCGCTTGGTTCTCAGTGGCAGCCTCTGCACAGCTGCACCCAACAGCACCGAGGGCTCTATAAACCTGGAGACCCGAACGCAGAAGCGCAAGTGTCTCGGGATCCACACGTATTCTGCGGCATCCCCGGGGGAAGACGCCCCTGGGGACCAGTTCCTGAGCACGATCCTCTTCCAGGATTTCAACCACACACTCTCGAGGTCTCTCCACTCTGTAATTCCTAAGCTGTGTTCTCAGCTTTCTTCCTAGTGTCACAGACACATTTTAAGTATGATTAATATACGTGTCGTCTCACACAAGTGACAGTCGTCTGCTTTTTCATTTTTTAAAAAATCATGACCAATTCTTGACAGAAGATTTTAGTGATGACTTTTTCACTTACTTTATAGTGGAACTCATTTCAAATATGTGGTCATGGTAAATCAAATATTATTTTTTCTGAAATACATTTCAATATTTATGTCCATTGTTCATTAAAATGTTCTTATATCAAACATAGATGGCTTGGTTTGATGTGCTCAGTTCTCTTGCTGGATGACATGACTTGCCTTTGGATAATCGATGGCCATCTTCACAGAGATTTCAGACTAATCAATACCCAACTTTGGAGCTGGTATTATAGGTTTTACATAGGCATTTTCAAGTCTTTCTTTTTTCATCAAAGTGGTAAGTTATACATTTGATGCACCAGTTTTATTTTCAGAGAGTGCCACCTAAAATATTTTATTCTAAGGTCTACTGTGCGCTATTTGAGTTCACTTTTGAAATGCTTATTTGACCACAGATTTTAAAATTTATTCTTTGAACTTCTTGGGTTGAAGTTAATCTTATTTTTTTCTGCAAGTGGAGTGGGGCAGAGCAAACTGTAGAGTTCTGTCAGTGACTTTGTCCCACATATCCTACTTAGGACAGTGACACAAGCAAGATCCTCATAAAGCCTAAAGCTGCACAGGAGTCCGGGAAGACGAAAGATTAAATAACACTGAACTCTGGTTCTCAGGAATCACACATCTCCAGTCCGGCTTTAGCGTGGCATAACTGACCTGCGCTCACATTTGGAATGCTATTTATTCATTCTCTTTTTAATTGTTAATATTGTTATTGCTTAGTGTCATCGTCTGTATTTCTTTGAGAGAGAAAAGTTTCACCATGTAAAAATCCTTACAGTGTATTTTTAAAGAACTTAATATGTGGCCCCCGAGATGCTATTCCAGAGTACTTTAAGACATAATTTTGTCTGTATTTTTTGCTCTTTGTGGTGTTCATAAAATGTTCATTTTCTCTAGGAGACAGTTGCTTTCTCGTATTACTTAATTTCCTTAGTTACCTACCGTTAGCGTTACAAACTATTTTATTAAGCAATCTATGTGTCTAACAAAGAAAGAACATATTTTCTGTTCTTTGTGGGGAAGAGTGCCCCTTTCATGGACTCAATTATGTCTGCTCTAAGTCTGTATATCTAAGACTTCACCCATGATAACTTGGAGACCACACCTTTGAAAGCCAATTATGGTTCAATGAGGGCATGAAGATGAAGCCCACATGTGAATTCAGTGCCCTTAAAAAGAAAGACACCAAAGACCAAAGTGTACTCTCTGATGGTCTCTTCTCTTATCCTCTCTCTTTCTGTCTCTTTTCTCTTTCTTCCTCTACCACCATTAGGCTCTGTCTTTCCAATAACTTAGGAAAACCAGCATTTAATTGAGGTTACCCAAGAATCATAAGTACATCTTCTATAGGATTGAAAGAGCAGGAGATAAAATATATAACAGGTTTCCACACTGCAGTGAAGACTGTATAAATGATAAGTTGAGGCAGGCATCTGTCAGAAACAGGGGAAGATTATCTTCCAGGAACTTTACCTGGATGATCAATGAGCATCAATGATTAATAAATAAACTCACTGATCAAGATAGATCAAAACCCCTTAAACCCATATTTATAAAGACAGTTAAATATTTCCTGTAATGATATAAGAACTTTTGAACATGGTCCCGTAAATATCTAATATCATAAAAGAGTAAATTGATTTCACTCACTGAAGAATTGTTTTTTTTTTTGTTGTTTTTTTTTGAGACAGGGTCTCACTTTGTATTTGAGGCTGACCTGGAACTCACTATGTAGTACAGGCTGCTCTTGAACTCACAGTGATCCTCCTGCCTCAGCTTCCCAAGTGCTGGGATTACAGGCATGCACCACGACGCCAGGCCAAATTAAGATCTTTTGAGTAAGGAAAGGTAAAATTTTAAAGAATAAAACTATTTCTAAAATAGTTCTCTGTGTTGAATTAAAAAGTACAAAATAATTTTAATTGGAATAAAATAACTTATATCATAATATGCCTGTAATTAAAGAATATAGTCATTGGTGGTATCCATTTGTACAGTCAGTATTTTTTTTAAATTGAGGGAATTTTAAATATAAATTGCAGTTTGTTTGGAAATTTCTTTGAAACAATGGAATTTAGTCATGTGAAACTACAGTTTTTCAAATTGCAGTGATCCATTATACCAAGCTATACTAAGGAAAAAAAAAAAAAAGAAAGTTATACACAAAGAAAGATCAACGTTACCTCTCTTGTCTATTAGGGGTTTCCTCTATTCAAATTTCTTTAATAATTCTAAAATATTATGTCTTTCCTTATACCTGAAAGGAAATATTTCTTCCAGAAAGATTAGTTGACTACTTCATGGCACAGTGCTGAATAGCATCTTTATTTGTTTTTATTTTACTATTTGCAATTAAGATTCTCAGCTTATTTTAAAAAGTATTCTTCTCCAAACCATAACCCGTATTGTTAAAATGATGGTATGATTTAAAGATCTTCATCTGGTTCTTTTGTTATGATGATATTGCCTTGCTTTATCTGTACAGATGTACAGTTACATCAGCTTGCAAGATTTGCATGGCTTTGTCACGAAGCTCTTTAAGGCAGCCTTCACGTCCTTGTTGCGCAGGCTGTAGATCATGGGGTTCAGCATGGGGATCACCAGGGTGTAAAACACAGAAGCCATTTTATCAGTATCCAGGGAGTGGTTGGCCCCGGGCTGTAAATACATGAACAGCAATGTCCCGTAGAAAACTGTGACAGCCATCACATGAGACCCACAGGTAGAAAAGGCTTTCTTCCTCCCTTCTGAGGATCGCATCCTCAGAATAGACAGGACTATGTTGAAATAGGAAACTATAACTATCGTCATGGAAAAAAACAAATTTGTCCCTGCAGAGAGAAAGACCAGTATTTCTGTAACATAAGTATCAGAGCAGGACAATGCGATGAGAGGTGTAATATCACAGTAAAAATGATCGATGATATTGGAAGAGCAAAAAGACAGGGAGAACACACAAAGTGTAAATACAATGGACGTGAAAAGGCCATAGAGGTAGGTGAGGGACACCAGCAGCAGGCAGACCCGCCGAGACACCACCACCATGTAGAGCAGGGGGTTGCAGATGGCCACGTAGCGGTCGTAGGCCATCACAGCCAACATATAGATCTCAGCCACAATGAAAACCAGGAAGCCCCCCAGCTGGGTGGCGCAGGCGTAGTAGGAGATGGTTTTCTTCTGTTCTAAGAAGTTGCTCAGCATTTTCGGGGCAATGACAGTGGAGTTGCTGAAGTTGATGACAGCCAGATGTCGGAGGAAGAAGTACATGGGGGTCTGCAGTCGGGGGTCCACACTGGTGAGGGTGATGATGCCCAGGTTCCCCATCACAGTCAGCACATAGATGCCCAGGAAGCCGAGGAAGAGAGGGACCTGCAGCTCCGGGCGTTCTGAGA